AGTTCTAAGAAAGCCAGTGACTTCTAGACTATACATATAAATAAGAAATGAAAAGAATTAGTGTAGCTGCTAGATTAAATATTGGCCTTTATTTACATCTACAAACCTCTTAACAGGAACAAACCAGAGAAACAAATACTATCATCTTTCTTTGATATTCTCTTTGGGAAGATATACTTTCTAAGTTACCAGGACCTAAAGAGATACCTAGATATTATCTACATATAGATAACTGAAATAAAGACCTAATTTAAGACTCTAGATTTTAATTTTTGATGGTTCTGGCACAATAAACAGAACTCTTAGGTTTGTGGGCTTGCATTCTAAGTTAGGATGTTTATTTCAGATGCATATATCCTTGAAAAAATTCTTTTAAGATTGGATCAACTGTATTCTCCATTAATAAAGAGGAATTAATTTTCTTATTCTAACTCAAACTGTTTCCCAAAGGGATATTTAGGAACCCAAAAGATTCCAGGTCAACTAAATCAAGAACTTAGGAGACTTAACTGGTTTTGATCTTACATTGGTCTCTCTGACAAAGACAGCATTAATCTGGGTATACTTGGGCAGCCAAGCTAAGGATGCTGAGTTGCAAAAGACAAATCTTGATCCCTAATTTTCAGCCCAAAGTTTAAAAAAATCCAAACTTAGAGAAATGCTTCTGATTAGCAGTGAATCTCTCTCTAAATATCCCAAGATAAAAAAATGCTATTTGAACCATAATGCTGGCAGCCTGAGAAGAGATGAAATACAGCCAAAGGTTTATGTAAAGCTTTGGCTGACCTCCAATTGCTAACAATGCCATGATGTGTTCCTCTAGTTTCCCCCTCCCTGGGCCTCCTGTCATCACATAGCACTGAGGCAGAGATCCAACAGGCAGCATGAGTTATAAATGAGCAACAGGGGGCCCAAGCATTTGAATTCGACTACAAAGTTTAGGGGACAAGATTGAAGTAGGATAATTCAGCTCTTCCAATTGTTAGAGACAGCTATGAAAGGAGAGTAAGTAGGGGCATGTTTAGTACAAAGACCAAGTAACCTTGATCACGAGACTCTTAATTTACCCTTAGCTCCACCCCTTACTAGCTGTACAATCTTGGGAAAGTCTCTTCACCTCTCTAATTCTTACTTTCCTTAGCTGTGAAAACTGAGAGGATACAGTATCTTTACCTCCTTTGAGGCTGTTGTAAGGATCAAATCAAACAAATGCACTTCATAAGCCATAAAGCACTATCAAAATATTATTAACCTAAGGTAACATATACTTACTGGATACTACTCATGTAGTACTTGACAGAGAAAGTAGTACAATATTGTCTAAGACCTCACTGAGCACTATAATAGAGAAGACTCATGTATGAACACATGGGCATCTATTCAAAGGATATGGAATAGAGATGGAAATACAATTGATTTAGTCTGATCGACAGAGATCAGACTCTCAAGAAGGTTAAATTGAAGCTCAGCTTTGCAGGGTCAGTGTACAGTAGCCAGGCATAGGAGGCAGGGAGAGAGAAATAAACAAAGAGGTGTGAAAGTACATAGGGTTAGGGAGTTATTTGATATGGATATGACACAGGCTACACAGGAGAAATCTTTCTGGAAATGAAACTGGACAGGTAAGCTGGAAGCAGGCTGTGAAGATTCTATATCATGACAAGTAAATATCAACAACTAGAGGCATCTGGTAGCCATTGAAGGAATTTATAGAAGGGAATAGCTAGATTTTGTTCTCCTGCCTAACTCCCATCCTTCTTTGTCCTGACACTACAAAAACTATAAGACAGGATATCTGTGTCTGAGTTACAATGCAGCAGAAAAAATACAGAATAATGTGTATAAATACAGAAGTACATAAGGAATACAGAGAGAGGCACAAAGAAAAGGGTAATTATCCAACATGAGAGGATCAGGAAAATAATTTATTAAGGAGGTGCTAAGTTGGTGTTATCCAGGCAGAACAAACTTTGGGAAGGTATTTCAAGCAGAGGGAGCAGCTGAGCAAAGATACAGAGCCATAAAATAGCATGCCACCTGGTTCAGCAAGAGCTTAAAGTATGAGGGGAATTTGGCATGATGAGCCTAGAAGGGTAGGAAGAAACCAGGGCTAGTATTACAGGTTAAGAGCATGTGTTGTAAACTTTAGTTGCCTGAATTCTAAAATTTCAGTCTGCCTCTCTCTAGCAGTGGGACCTTGAACAAGTTATATACCCTCTCTAAACCTCATTTTCTTCCCTGATAAAATAAAGTTGCTAAGGAACATCATAAAGTGCCTGTAGGATTAAATGAGATAATCCATGTAAAAAATTTAGTATAAAATGTCTGAGTTACAGGAAGCTCTCAAAAACTATGACTACCAATATCATTATCATCATCATTATTATAGAACAATTTATTAGGAAATCGTTATAGTGGTCAAGGCAAGAAATGAAGAGGCTCTGGACAAGAGCAGAGGTGATGAAGAAGAGAAGACATGTAAACAACCTCTCAGAGCTTGAAGTGAAAATAAAAACAAACAAACAAAAAACAACAGAGCTTGAAGTGATTGATTAGACTCGGTAATATGGGACAGATACTGGGAAGACTAAGTCAAATATGATTCTAGGCTTCTTATCTGAACAACTAGGTACATGAGTGGAAATATTTAGCAATTTGGGACATGTCAAATATAGGATAGGTCTGGGTAACATCCACCTGAGAAACACACATCTTTGGCTTGGCTAAGAATGTAGGAAAATGGTCCATCATTTTTTTATCCAGGTCTTGTAGTTTGAAAATCACCTTTACTTGCAGTTCCCACTAAATAAGTGGCCCTAAGAAGCCATGTTGGATTTATGCAACCATCTCCTGGGCCATAGTTTCCTGAACTATAGTTGGACAACTAACCTATGCAGGAAAAGAAAACCCTAACTAATCAGATGTTCTGTGGTTATGCCTTTAGAATCATACGGCTTTGGGATGTACAAGACAGCACTATTGCTCACATATAAGCAATGACAGAAATGAATGTAGGGGACACACAAAAAAGAAGTAAAAAAGGAACATGAGGCCTTCTAAAAAGATAAGGGGAAAGTAGTTGGCTAATAACATTTTTCATTCTCATAAAGCCAGCTGCACCCAGACGTGGGACTCTATATCCACTTCTACTTGTGCTAACCAAACAATCTCTGTGACCGAAACAGATGAGACTGCTCTACAATACAGAGAAGAAGACAAGAAAATGGCCGAGGTTGGGACCCTGGGAAGCATCAACATGGAATAGGCAGACACAAGGGAAAAAAAGCCAGTGAAAAAGGCAGAGAAAGGCATTAAGAGAAGAAAAAGGTAATTCAGGAGAAAGCAGAGTCCTAGAAGTGAAGAGAAGAGGTTTCAAGGAATAGACAACAGTGTCAAATGCTACAAAGAAATCAAGTAGGAGGAAGAAAAAACTAGGCCACTGAATGTAGCAATAAAGAGATCACTGGTTGAGGAGAGGGGAGGGAAAAGGAGAATAATGGAGGAGGTGAATTCAAGTATGACATATTTGATATATTTTAAGAACTTCTGTAAATGCCACAATGTACCCCCAGCCAGCGCAACAATTAAAAGAGAGATCACTGGTAAGACAGTCACGGTGGTTCACGCCTGTCATCCCAGCTATATGGAAAGCATAAATAGGAGGAATGAGGTCCAGGTCAGTCTAGGCTTGAATGCAAGACCCTATTCAAAAATAACTAAAGCACAAAGGGCAGGGGGCATGGCTTAAGTGGTAGAGCACCTGCCTATCAAGCACAATCCTTAGGTTGAAACTCCAGAGAGACAGAGAGAGATCGCTGGTATAGCAGGCACAATGATACATTGCTATGATCCCAGAACTAGTAGGGGAGGGGAGGGGAGGAGAGAAGGTAGAGGAGGAAGGAGAAGGAGAAAGAGGGAGGGAGGGAGGAAGGGAGGAAGGCAGGAAGGCAGGAAGGGAGGAAGGGAGGAAGGGAGGAAAATCAATGTTGACCTTTCTTAGAGCAGCAGGAATTACTAGAAGTCACAAACTTTGTTTTGATCTGACAGTAGGCATACCATTTATCCTTAGGGGATAAATGCCTCTACCTTCATTTTATTTTATTTATTTATTTATTCACTTATTTATTTTATTTTATTTATTTTGTGGTACTGGGTCTTAAACTCAGGGCCTTCACCTTGAGCCACTCCACCAGCCCTATTTTTGTGAAGGGTTTTTCGAGATAGGGTCTCGCAGAAATATTTGCCCGGGCTGGCTTTGAACTGCGATCCTCCTGATCTCTGCCTCCTAAGTAGCTAGGATTACAAGTATGAGCCACCAACACCCAGCCTCTACCTTGATTTTAATGACAAGAATTTCCCCCAACCCTAGCCACACTGAAAATGCTGTATTACCATCATATTACTATATTATGGTAAAAATCCATCAACTGAACACTGAAGATTTGTGCGCTTTATTTTTTGGCAATACTGGGGGTTGAACTCAGGGTCTTGTGCTTGCTATGCAGTGTTCTACCACTTGAGTCACGCCCCCCCAGTCCCATTTGCTTTTAGTTTGTTTTGCAGGTAATCTCGAGTTTTTTGTAGCCTTGGACTGCAATCCTACCTCCATCTCCCACATAGCTGAGACTGCAGATGTGTGGTACCATGTGCAGCTGGGTTTGTGTACTTTAAAGACAGAATAGAAGTTCCCCTATTCATAATCAGATTTGAAAATAAAGAGATTTATAAAATAATTTTTAAAGCTAGGAGCAATATTCTTAGAATCCCAAGCATCATCTCCTGATATTCTCAACCTCAGTCTTCTGAGGCAGTAGCATATAATACTGTGTCTTCTACCTGTTATACAGGAAGGAAGGGAAGGCAGGAGAGAAGGAGGGAGGGATCACAAGCAAATTTTCTCAGACTCCAGTACGTGACAAAAACTCTGATCTGCAAGATGGGAAAGAGATCCAGCTTAAGAACAGTAAGAGGAGCTAGGGCAGCATACGAAGGAGTTCTACCTTCATCAAGTGCTTGTTGACCCACTTGGTGAACGTTTTCTTCTGAACCCGGTCCCGCTCATCTGCAAAGAAATAGAGAAGGAACAGGCTTAGTGTTGTGCATGCAACAAGTTCCCACACCCCTGCCTTGCCCACACTCCAGTTTCTCCAGCACCACTTTAAAGGGTTGATTTTATCCTCAGAACATGGGACAGTGACTTCTTGTTAGAAAGGCTTGACCTATCCAACTTCCTCTTTGGTCATGGTCATGTTGTCACTTTACAGATTAGACAGAATCACATGCATCAAAAATCATGCCATGACAATGTCCTCTTAGCATAGTAATGTGAGCAGAACAGGGAGCGGAGTGATCCCCTGCTTCCCTCACAATAAGTTCCAAAAGGCCAGAGATGTGAATACCACCAACAGAAGGTGTAGGGTGGCCTTGGTGTGCACTGGTTAAATCTCACTCTTCATACATTAATTAATCTGTCTGAGCAGTGTTCTGTTGCCTCCTCCGCCTGCCCCAATACTTGCTTCATTCCAATTTCATCACCAGCCATTACCAACCAGCCAAACTCCCAAAGTCACCAAGTTTACCCCCACTGCACATCTCTTCCCTCCCTTCCTTCTAAGTCTTAAAGAGGCAAACTCCACTTCTTTCTGTTTTTTTCACTTTTTCAACAACATGACTATCAATAGTTGACAATGACTGTTCCACAGAGGCCCTGTTCTGTGGAAGACTCACTCTTTCTTCCACTGGGCCAATTCCCCAGGTTCACTTCCAGAACACTGAGACATCAGCCTTGGTTCTTTTCTATTTGAAGCCCATATCATCCCCTATACAATCTCGTTCAAGCCACCCTGTCAGTAACTATTCTCTGCTGCCCACCCCCTTCCACATGATAATCCACTTTAACCTTCCTGACAACTCAGTTCATATTTATTATTTCCACATACACATCAACATATAGATTGACAAGGCATATGAGCCTACTTGTCTCCACTAAACTTCATCTGCAATTCATATCCAACCACCATGGTGCAACACTCTGAGCCTCATTCCTTCTCCAAACATACCTATTTAGCAGTCATTTTTAATCAACTTCTCATACTGTTTTTTTGTTTTGTTTTTTTTGGTGGGACTGGAGTTTGAACTCAGGGCTTCACACTTGCAAAGCAGGAGCTCTACCACTTGAGCTACATCTCTAGTCCATTTTGCTCTGGTTATTGTGGAGATGGGGATTTCACAAACTATTTTCCCAGGCTGGCCTTAAACTAAGATCCTCCTTATCTCAGCCTCCCAAGTAGCTAGGATTACAGACATGAACCACCCATGCCCAAACCCCTAATCCCTCATTCTTATTCTACTCTATCCTTATTTCTCTACTCTATCTATTAAAAACATCTACGATTACCCCAGTCTATGCTGGACAACATGATTAAGAAATTCAAAGCTACTCTAACTAACCCCAGGTACTCTCAGATGCCTAACTCTCCACTATTATGTTGACTGTGACAATCTTGAAACCTGAATTATCACTATTGCTTAACTCTCATTTCTCTTCCTAGTCAGAGAACATTTCAGAAGAAAGTTGCAGTATTATATCATTGGGGGATTCAATGGTTATTCACACAAACTTCAGCAAATTTCCTTCTCCCTACTGCTCAATCCCTCTCTTACAGATCCTATAATAAAAGCCACATTACACTGTTCTACAAGCCAGCATTCTCTTTCCATCCCAAGAGAATACATCTATCCACCTACTTTTTGAGTTTATAGCTATTCAGTAAGCACTTCCTCACCTTTTTCTCTGGTTTTACTGTTACATCTTTCTTAGCTTTGAATGCTTTTTTGCTTTGCAAGGAACAATTCTCTTCCTACTATGACCACCGAACTAAGAGATGGTTGTTACAAATTACTTGTAGTCTAATTTCCTTGATACACAAATCCCTTCAGCAACAAAGAATACTCTTCAGGGTTGAAAGATCTGTCCAAATCTCATATACATCAGTAATATTCTTGATATAATAAAAGAATCTATACCTCACAATGCAACATACCAAATTAATAGTTCTAAAAAGGGTCATAATTTGCGTCCTTTTGAGTTCTACCTATTGGCACCCATCTGAAACTGTTAGAATTTTTCTAGTCTAATCTATTTTTCACTTAATCAAGGCTTTTGAAGGTATGTGAAGCCAGAATTCTTATTGGAGTTGACCACTGTCATGCTGATGTGTTTTGACCCTCTTAGATGCTGATTCAGCTGTCCAGCGTTTTCATCGTCCCTTTCAGGCCCAATCTGTACACTGAGTCCAAACCATCTTGCAACTAGTCTCATCTAAATCACTGACACTCATACTACTTCTTTTCCCTTCATGGTATGCTATTTCTTCTCCCCCTTCACCTCCCCAAATGCTATTTATTCCTTAAAATCCAACTTGCTTATTCACTCAGCTATTCTTTGGAAAAATCTTTATTAAAGACCTAGCTGCTAGATCCTTTAGAATCTGGTAATTTAAATATCAATGTCACCATCCCTACCTTCAAAATAGATGAAAGTAAAACAAAGAAGAGAAGTAACTTCACTACAGTTTGATAATAGCTATAACAGGTAAGCACAGAGTGCTCAAACTGAAGTGGTTCACTACATGTGAGGTAGTGAAAGTTTTCTAGTGAAATGACTCCAACTAACTTTAAAAAACGACCAGGGGCTGGGAGTTTAGTGCAGTGGCAGAGCACTTGTCCAATGTGGGCAAGGCCCTAGACGGCTGAACCTCCAGCACCATCATTACAACAGCAGCAACAACAAAAACCCTAGAAGTTAACTAGAAAGAGAAGGGAATAGACAAAGTTTCTATAAAAAGTTACATCTAATACACATTCACAGAGATAAGAAAGAGCTTACATGCAGAGGTCTGTACAGAACAAGGGATGAATGAAAGATAGAATGTTTATTAGGTAGTGATGAGACTTAAAACTGAGTGGGATGACATATGCCAAATCATGACCTTTCATGACAAGCTGAAGAGTCCAAACTGCATCCTATAGATAAGGGGAAGCCCTGAAAGATTTTAAACAGGAGAATGACTTGACCAGATTTGTGATGGAGAAAAATTACCCTGGCTTCCTTTCCTGACAACTCCTGTTCTCAATAGTCTCTTGTCCTCCAAATTTTTATGGTACTTACTATGCTAATCACTCAACCAGCCCTTGAATATAATGAGAGTTCTGAACTTTTAATATGCTTTTTCTTGCATCACCTCCCATTAACAACTTGAAGAGATCATGTTTTATTTTTTATATTTCCCACAACTTCTAATAGCTAAAGCATTACACAGTAAGACCTAAAAAACAAAGCAAAACAAATCATTCTTGATTAGCCAATGGGTAATTAGAAAACTGGTTAAAGAAACACACAAGAGAATGGCAGGGTGGTACATGCCTGTAATCCTGGTACTCAGGAAGCTGAGGCAGAAGGATCATAAGTTCAAGGCCAGCCTGGGCCAACACTGCAAGATCTTGTCCAAAAAACAAACAAACAAACAAAAAATAACAACCCCCCCCAAAATAACAAAAACCAAGAAACACACAAAATGAAATCAGAACTGAGTTACCTACTTGAATCCAGTTTAATATGTAAAAATACCACAATCCCCGATAAACATTACATGTGAACTGAGACATGCAGCCATGATGAAAAAAACAAGAGCTAACTAAAAATTGTGCACACTACATTTTCACTCATACCAGACTCTCTTTTTTACTACAACTAATTACCCTCATTACCAAGAACAGTCTGGTTCTACTTTTACAAAGTTCTCACTCTGAAGACACAAGTTTTCTCTCTTGTTTTTCTTAGAATTCCTTTTATAAAAATTATACATGTTTGCTATAATGGCAAATATTTCATAGATGGAAAAATAAAAGGATATAGATTTTCATTTAAGCTAGTCAATATTTCTAAGAGGTAGAATTAATTCTTTTTTGTTTTCATCCACTGCCTTCTTTTAGATCTAAAGATGTGAGTGGCGCAACTGAGACTTTTTAGTGTTATTACCCAAAGGTTATTCTGTCTGTCTACCAAGTCCTTCCACGAGGACCAGGCCCTAGGGTCTCACATCAGTTACATTTCAAAAAGCTAAATAATTGACTTTCAGTTCAGGAGGAAAAAGATTAAAGTACTTTTTTCTGAATATAATTATTAAAGGTAATATGATTGCAAGCCCTTCCCAAAACTAGCTAGCCTGCTTAAAACTGAGCCATTTAACTCCCCAGAAAAGGGTTTTATAGACCTCCTTTGCCCCTACAACCTAGAGGATGCTTTTTTAGGATCCTAAGTTGATAGGTCCATCAATTGCTTAAAAGTCCTTTCCTGGCTGAAACATTAAGAGACAAGACATTGCAGTGCCTAGAGTTTAATGTCCTTAATGTTTCTAGCAAGGAAATTCACCAAGGAAGCCAAGAAGCAACGTAACCTGTAACGCAGACTTTTGGAATGCTCCAAACAGCTCAGACTTTGAAGCTAGTAAGTTTTAGGTTTAGCTCCCTACGTACAAATCCCTACTTAATTCCAGGCCTAGCCAAGATCTTTCTACTTAACACTGAAGGTAGAACTCTCACAAAGTACTCTTCTGAGACGAAAAAAGGTCAAGGAAAGGGCAAAATTCATTGATTTTTTTAAAAATATATTATTTATTTTTAAAATTTACATATAATATTGTACGGGGGATATATTATGACATTTACATATGTACTTACAATATATCATAATTAGATTTACCCCCTTCATCATTCTCCCTCCCATTTCAATGTTTCTTATAATCTTAGCCACACAAAAAGCTATGAACTGAGACAATGGAGAGCCAAGATGTCCAATGGAAAATTCTGAGATTTAGCACTTGAGGCAACAATGATTTATCAATATGTAGGGGTTACTGAATTGAAGTCTTTAATTATGAGGACTTAATACTTGTTTCCAACTTTATCAAGACCATATTACAGGTCTCTGAGCACCAAGCTACCAATATCTTCTCTAGTCTATTTTAGTCTCACTGGCAGACTATGACCCTCCCAATAATC